TTCCATCCAGAAAGGCAAAACAACCCAAGCAGGAAGGGGGTTTCCAATTCACAGGGAGGTGAGAGACACTGGTGGGATTCTTTTGAGTTTCGAATTAGCCTTTCCAAAGGAGGCAATCAGATATGCATTTATCTCAGTGAGCAGAGGGATGACTTTGAAGAGAATGGAGGCAGGTTTGTCCTTATCAGTTCCCAGCTTCACTTTTTTTTAGCTTAGTTATTTGGGGGTCCCAAGATGGTAGAAAATAGTAAAAATTGAAAAACATTAGGTAAGGCTAGCATCTAAAAACAGGTGTAATATAGTTTTTGAAACATCATTTTTCTCTCTCTAGTTTCCCGTTTTTACTGAAGACAAATTATGGTAGGACCAATTTGCTTTGTTATACTTGGTTAGATTATTTGTATAAAATGCATCAAGAATAATTATTTTGCACAGTCTTTTTAAATTGGCTTTGATGGAACTTTGTTCCATAGTAGTAATCTTATAAAAAATTTTTTGAAAGCCAAGCTCAGCCATGGATTTGTACCATCAAATATGTAAGAGTCGGGAGACTTCCTCTCTTCTTGAGGTCCCAAGATAATTTTGGGGCTCCTGGGCCTGTCAGAAAGTGTCATTCTTTATTGACCACAGGTCAGGAACCCTTGTACAGGGACTATGTTGATGAAGTATGAGGTCAGTTTTCCCAAGGGGCTTTTATTGGCTCCATAAGTAAAGTTTAATTCCTTAAAGGAAAGAATATCATTCTAGTCAAAGACTGAGTAAAATAACTAGTTTCTCCAATTGCATCCTGTTACAATGAAAACAGATTCTTATCGCACTTATGCAAATAACTGTATAGCCATAAATTAAGAACAGTCATAAGTAGTTTGCAAATTCTTGAGAAATTGAGTAAAGAGAAGCAAAGGCTCCAAATATTGTTCACAGGAGTATACTAAATTGTTAAAAGCTGTCAATAGCTCAAAAGTAAAGTTTCACTGGTTCCGAAAAATAAAACAAAGGATCAGCAAGGTTTTAAGCAAAAAGTCAAAAGATTATTTTAGTCTTCTATTAGTTCAATTCATGCAGTTAATTCTTGTTCTGCTTGATATTCATGAACATTTCTACTCTCCAAGAGTCCTGAAGTTATTTTCTTTACTCTGATGCCATAATTTCCAAAGTTATCAGAAACCTGCATTCAAGAACACCTGGTAGAGTTTCACAGCTGATTATAAAACCACCTTCTAAAGAGGAATAAAACAATACAACAATTGTTCAGGAATGACAAAAAGTTTTAGGGCAGCCATAGTCAAAGATACAATTGACAAGAAATTTTTTTATCTCTGTGGCATACAATAATTTATATATTATATTAATTATTACTGATAATATATACTAAGGCATATCATAATTATAGATGTTTTCCATAATTTTGGAACCTATACCAATAATATATTTATACAAATCTAGCCCAAAGAAAATGAAAGACAGTTTTATATTTTACAATGCTTCCTGTATAATTTTTATGTCAGATAAATTACATATGTCATTTTTGGACATTAGAGAACCTAATATCTTACAGAATTAATTAGGTCAGAAAACGACATTATTTGATTCTGGAAAGTTTGTCAAATAGCAACGGTTTAAATAAAACACTTGATATCACAAAATAGGATTCCAGGTTATTAAAAAATAAGTCATTCATTTAACTAAAATGATAACTCAAAGATTTCCAAAAAAAAAAAGGCAAAAACTTTTATTCTTTGAGAGAGGAGACTTAATTATCCAAACAATAAGCTTTAATAAAGACAACATCAAGCCATTTAAACTTATTTTTGTAAATTTGTAAAGAATCTATAAAATTTTAATCTCTACCATAAGACATAACTTCTATAAGCCTTTTATAACCTTTATTAAGGAGTTTGTTAATTCTTCAAGAAAACCTTGTTAATCTGACACAGGGGCCTATATGCTGGTCTGATGTCAGTGTGCCTTTGATATCAATTATTAATTTATAGAGAAACTGAACTTATTTTATCTCTCGATATTGGCCCTTACATTCTCACATGCCCATGTCTTCTGCCATAGTGCCTGAATCTTGAGTTGAATAGCTTTAATTTCTGGCCCCGTGTCTCAGGAATGCAGTTACTTTTAATTGGCATCTTTAACTGGGCCTGAAAACGAGGCCTTAATTGCTGTCAGTGTTTAAGATTTAGCAGGATATTAGGTTCCCTAAAGTCCAAACTGACGTATTTGGTTTATTTGGTCACAGAGGGCTGAGACTGGGGGAAGGTAGAGATGATTAATGGGTATAAAAATAGGAATAATAAATAAGACATACTATTTAATAGCAAAACGAGATGACTATAGTCAATAATAACTGTACATTTTAAAATAAAGTTTGTATTTGGATTGTTTGCAGCTCAATGGATAAATGCTTAAGAGGAAGGATATTCCATTCTTCATGATGTGCATATTTCACAATTCATGACTGTATCAAAACATCTCATGTATCCCATAAATATATACACCCATTATGTATCCATAGAAATAAAGTTTTTTAAAAAATTAAAGAAATAGGGACAGACACAGTGTCTCATGTCTATAATCCCAGCACTTTAGGAGGCCTAGAAGGGTGGACCACTTGAGGTCAGAGTTCAAGACCAGTGTGGCCAACATGATGAAACCCTGACTCTAATAAAAAGGCAAAGCTGGCCAGGCGCGGTGGCTCAAGCCTGTAATCTCAGCACTTTGGGAGGCCGAGGCGAGTGGATCACGAGGTCAAGAGATCGAGACCATCCTGGTCAACATGGTAAAACACTGTCTCTACGAAAAATACAAAAAAAAATTAGCTGGGCATGGTGGCGAGTGCCTGTAATCCCAGCTACTCAGGAGGCTGAGGCAGAATTGCCTGAACCCTGGAGGCGGAGGTTGAGGTGAGCCGAGATGGCGCCATTGCACTACAGCCTGGGTAACAAGAGCAAAACTCCATCTCAAAAAAAGACCGTTGTATTTCTAGAAAATAATTACAGGTATATTTCTTTTTTTCTTTTTCTTTTTTTTTTGAGACGGAGTTTCCACACTTGTTACCCAGGCTGGAGTGCAATGGCTTGATCTCGGCTCACCATAACCTGCGCCTCCTGGGTTCAGGCAATTCTCCTGCCTCAGCCTCCTGAGTAGCTGGGATTACAGGCACGCACCACCATGCCCAGCTAATTTTTTTTTTGTATTTTTAGTAGAGACAGGTTTTCACCAAGTTGACCAGGATGGTCTCGATCTCTTGACCTCATGGTCCACCCGCCTCGGCCTCCCAAAGTGCTGGGATTACAGGCGTGAGCCACCGCACCCGGCCTCAGGTGCATTTCTTTACAATGCATTTGTATTTGAATTAGTTAAGATCTTTCCATTATTTATCTTCAAGTCAAGGTCAGTGAGCCAAATTTTGTAATGATGTTATTTTCTCTTACCATGAAGTTTTCTCTTTAGTAGAATAATAAAATAGCCATTATCTTCAGCTTGAAGGAAAGACAATAATAAAACTTGCTCCTCAGATACTTTATACATATACATCATTGGACTATGGAAAATGAATTGTTTCCTTCAGGCTCTCAGGTTATATTCTTTAAAAATATATTTTAAAAACTCATTACATTATTCAATACATATTTATTGAGTGCCTATCATATGTCAGACAGTGCAAATCACTGGAGATACAAAACTATTTCACATAGCCACAACCTTTCAGTTTGCTAAGGAATTGCAATTTAATCTGATAAATGCCTTATGAGATAAATGATATTGTGATGACCACAGAGAGGGGTACACTTAACTGAGCTTTGGAGGTCACACTTTAGGTCCAGAAGAACATTCTTGGAGGAAATAGCTAAACTTGGACATAAACAGGTCTATCTTTGAGCAGAACGTGTTGTGATCACAGAAAGATAATTTTCATAAAACACTATGAAGCAATTATTGCTGATATATACCTCAGGCACAGAGGTTGAGTAACATGACTCAGTTCTTATAGCTCTTAGGTGATAGACTGGGAGCGGAACTTAGACAATATAGTTCTGCAGTCCCTACTTTTTACCAATTTCAAGCTATTGCAATCCAAGCATTAGAAAAGAAGAGTGATACAGCATAGCACATCTATTATGCTCATTAAGTTATATATCCCTAATAATATTACACTGAATTTTCATTTTCATGACCATTTTCGTTACAAATATTCACATTCTGTTAAATTGTTTTATCCTTTAGTTATTTTCAACTGATTATAAAAGGATGGATCAGAAACAATCCATTGTCTCATAAATCTTGTGTGGCATTTTCCTGATCACAATTGCGTTATCCACATTGAGAATTGCTTATAAGTGTTCATGTTTCTCAACCGGCGATTTAAAGATAAGTGTGACAGATAGCTTATTCTTGTTTAAACAGAAGGGAGTTTATAAACTCACAATTGTATAAGCTACTTATCCCTGTACTCTTAGTTGTTATGTGACTGCTGGAGCCACGATACTCTGAGGTATTTTTTTTTTTTTTTTTTTGACCTCTGTAAGTATTCTCTGAATCCTGAACTTTCTTTCTACTCTCAGAGAAGTTGTTTGTTAACCTTTCTAAAAGCCTAAATTTTAAGTTATGAAATATACCTTTCAGGCTTATTTATTATGATTATATGTATCTTATTACAATACTTGAAAATTAATTATAATTTCCTAGAAAACATGAAGTATTTATAATTTTCTCTAGACTCTTCTATCGGTCTTGCAGTATTTACGTTTTTAATTTATAGTAAAATTCCTAGTGGGCTTTTACCTTCCACTCCTATTCCAGGAATTAAATTAAAACATTTCTCCCTTTCTGACTTTCTAAATTCATTCTTAGTTTTCCCACTCTCACAAGTTGTTAGGCGTGAAGCACCCTTTCCAATTATTTTGCTCCAAGTAGCAATGTTTTGCTCAATGAGGAATTTAACTTCAACCTTACATACAGAATGATAAGCCAATGTTGGTTTTTCACAGATGTCTACCCGCCTTCCCCTAAATTCATGTGTGGGAATCCAATCCCTCAGAAGTCTATAAAAGGTAAGTAAGCTAAAATGGGTTCATTAGGTTAGGGCCATCCTCTAATATAACTGGGATCTTTATAAGAAGAAAATGGCATATAGACACACACAGAGGGAAGACTATGTGAAGGCACATGGAAAGGATAGTCATCTTGCAAGCCAGGGATAGGGACTTCCGAAAGAACCAACTCCACTGACAACTTGTTCTGGGATTTTTGCCCTCCAGAACTGTGAGGAAGTAAGTTTCTGTAGGCTGAGCTACACAGTCTGCAGTACTTTGTTATGGCAACCCCACACATATCAATCCTGTGGCCATGCCTCTCCTCAACCTTCATGCCAAATGGTAACATCTGTGGTAGCATCCACATAACTGGTTCTTACTAATTTTCTCACAAAGCTAACACATACATTACAAAAAAAAGCTGAAAATAGAAATAAAGAAGAAATTTAAATGACCTCACTCATAATTATTTTTTGCTAATCTCCTGACAATACCACCAACAATTATTGCATATCTAAATGTAAAAATCAACGAACTTAAAATGCTTACCTTTGTGCAGTGCAGGATGATGAACTCTGGTGGTTTAGGTATATTCACTTTGATGTGACCACATTGTGGAGTCCCATGACACCTGCAAAACTAGCAAAAATTCTCTCTATATATATAGCTCATAATTTTTGTTACATTTGTGGTGTTTGGATACTTTTCACAAGTTCCTTGTCAATGTCATAGTCTAGGCTAGGCAGGAAGTCAGGGAAGAGGGGAAATAGAAAGGAAAATTAGGCCCAAAGGGACACTGGTTCCAACATTTCACACTGAGTCTACAACTTTTAGGGTTCTGTAATTTTTGTGGTCACACTACATGTAAGAAAAGTTACTGTCATTCATATACCTATGTGATGGACAAAAAAATAGAAAGATCTCAACACACTTAAATGTATGACAAGTTTAATTACTACCTTTTTATTTCCCTGAAGTTGCTAATATAATAGTAACAAGTAATATTATAAAATATATTATAAATCTGGAAGGTAATATCTTATAAAGAGTTCAAATGTTTATGTCTTATTGATTTTAAGACAAAGTAGAAATTTTTAAAACAAATAGAGTTCTATATTTTAAGTTAAATTCTTAGTATAATTAAGTGTGATAGCAGACCATATTAATAGAATACTAATATAAATAACTATTATCACATTTTGCAAATGTGCTAAGTGTGATAGCAGACCACATTAATAGAATACTAATCTAAATAACTATGACATTTTGTAAATGTGCTATTTAAGAAGAAATACTTATCTATTTTAGAAAATATATAGTTTTAGAATACATTGCTAAGAGATATTAAATTTAGAAATTATTATATGCTAACACATATAAATATTTCTTTAGTTTTTAAAATATAAAATTTATAATATAGTTTATAAAATATAAATATTTATTTAGTTTTTAAAATATAAACTAATTAGAAAAAGATGGTTTTATTGTTTCATATAATGGGAAGCAAAAAATTATGTTATTAAAGACAATTGAGTTAAAGCATCATGTAAGCCAAATATTGGTATTACTGATTACATTTAATATATAAAAAAGACTGAAATTATATTAAAAACATGAGTATTAAATAGGTTTTATTTGGCAGTCAGTTTAAGAACTAATGTGGCATAGCTCAATTACTTCTCAGGACAAATACTATAGTAAGTTATTATTATCATCTGCATCTTTTTAGATGAGCAAATGGAGACAACAAATATATATAATACCTGGTCCAAGGGCTCACAGAAGGTATCAAAGTTAGGAATCAAACATTACAATGTATTCTTTATTATTTATGCTATACCTTTCTTGTAGTAATAATAAACACACACACATCACTCAGTAAATATATTTTATGGCAATTATTTATGTCTTGATTTATGGGCATAAAATATATTAGTTGCTCATTAAATATATTAAAAACAAATGGAAATATATAAGTAGATGAAATAAGGAGAAATATATGAATATATATGTTTATTACACAAAAAATAATGACAGTTAATGTAGCTATTAGAATTACTTTAATTTTTGGTCTCAACATTAAAAATAATTTTATACAATATAAGTAGATTTTTTTTACTAGTAAATTTAATATTAGGACTGAAAGCGAAACATTCATTTTAGAAAAAAGATAATATATTTAATGGGAATACCTTAAATTGTTTTTGAAAACTTTATTATCTTGTTGGACATCAAGAGGCATCTATCTTTGATTAAATATCAAATTTAAAAAACTTCATAACAAATATATTATATTTAAGTTGTTGTATTTATTAACTACTTGCCAGACATTAATAATTTCTTTTTATTTTCTATATATAGTTAATTATTTACTTTATATTATTATTAGTTATTTAGCATAATAGTCATTAAATAGTAAAAGTCCTGAGAATTCACATTTTGATGCTCAAGGATAGTTCTTAATTCTTGTTGCTATAATACGGGATGGTTAGTAGTACCAGATGAAAAATAACCATAGCTACCATAATAATTGAATATTGGGAAGAAAATTTTCTATGCAGGCCTTTGACCTGACATTGTTCCCTTTAAAAATAAATAGCATTCGCTCTTCAATGAATAAAGAATCTCAGTGTTGTAAGATGAAAACTTTTGGGAAATCTTTTGTGCATGATATGCACATAGTTAACACTACTGCATTGTACACTTAAAAATATTTAAATAATAAATATCATGCTATCTGTGTTTTACCACAATAAAAAATATAGCATGCATTAGATTAAGCAAGGACAGCAAGAGAGTATAACTAGTTTGGAAAAGGACTCATGAATTCCTGATTTTCAGTATCGTGTAGAATTATATAATGTCATGAAGACTGAAAATATTTAAATTAGTAGAAATACTATTAACTCTAAGTTTTTTTCTGTATATCATTATGTATACTTTATGGAAGTGTTGATGTTCAACAAGTTTCACAAAGATGTGGATTGAGAGATTGTTCATAGGTCAACTCAACAACCTTTATTGTGATTGGTTGGAATCTGAATAGTACTAGTGTTTAATATTCTGATAATAATTCCTTCAATACATTTCAACAAAATGAACAACATGTATTCAACATATTTCAACAAAATGCACAATTCATGTTAGATATAATTAACAAAATTCCTGGGATACATGTATGGAATAAAACTTAAGCAGGCAAAAATATTAGCAATTATTTCACAACCTGGGGGATTAAGGCATTTTTAGTATGGGTAATTATAGGTCAAGTAAGCTGGGCATAACACTGTGGAATATAATTTCAGATAATGTGTTTAAAATGCCATTGTTTAATACTTACTTGTTTGTCATGAACCAAACACTCAACAGGTACTCTGAATATGGAGATGAGTAAAACCAAGCTTCCACATTCCATGCTCTCACAATAAAACATGGTAAGAAATAGCTCAGCAAACACATTATAGAATAGTAAGAAGAGTACTAGAAATATTCAACATTTACAACAAAAAATGCACATAGGAATGTTCCTTCAGGATTATTTGGAATAGAAAAGAGCAAATATTTTCCTATAATTTGTCCCCATAGTGATATATTTAAAAGATAAATGTCTTTTAAGATGGAGATAAATAGAGACATATAAAAGCAATGTCTCTTGGAAAGTGGTTTATTCATCTGGACCTCCTGAGCATATAATAAAAGAATATTAGCTATGGATGTTGCAGGAAATATGCAAAATATATTGTAGCAGTCTCGAGCTTTATATGGGGCTCATTCAACTTACATTTACATGCAGACCTTTGTGATACGTAGATCTTAAAATAGAGTATCGGAACATGGATTTTAAAATTGAAAGGATTGCTAAGGGAGAGTTAGGCTTTCATGATTAGTTGATTTAAAAGTCTTCAAAGTGGTTGTAATGAGAATGACAATGCATTGATTAAATTCAGATAACTAGTTCAGCATACAGATAATAATGTGATTTTTTTTTCAAAAATGACATTTAGCAAAATGAGGATAAATAGTTCATAGTGCAGACCTCTGTGAAGCCAGAGCATATTAAATAAAAAGGATAGGCATAACATTTATTGTAACATTATGTTAATATTGTAAACAGTATTATTTTATATGAATAACTGCATATTCACGTTTTATTTGCAATTTTGGGCAGAAATACTTTTTTTCTTTTTTTAAGTTTATTTTAAGTACAAGGGGACATATGTAGGTGACATAAGTAAACTTATGTCATGAGGATTTGTTGTATTGATTAGTTTGTCGCCTAAGTGTTAAACCTAGGAATCTGGAAATATTTTAAGTGTTTTTTCTTTTGATGTCTATTTTTTTGTGTGACTTGGGAATTGGTAAAACTGAGAGTAAAACTGAGATTCGTATGTTTGAAGAGAACGAGAGATACTTAATATTCTGTTACTGTGGAAAATCAAAGAAAGAGCTAAATAGAGAACTCTCGAGTGGAAAAAACAAGCAAAACAGATGCAGAGTGTGCTGGTTATGCTCCTTGTAGTCTTAGAATAATATCAACATTTTTTTTACCAGAATCTATAACAGATTATAAACTTGGCCCTGCTTATGTATGTGATCTCGTATGGTTACACTATACCATTTTAATTGCCTGATTACATGTCCCTCTCTGAAAGGTATTCAGTGTTAACCTTCCCTCTAAGTAGACTCCTTTCTCCAGCACAGCACCCTAGATAAACCCTGTGGTTTTTGGTTGAATTCTAACTATTTCTATTAATTTGTTTACATATTTGATATAAGTTCCATAAATAACAGGAAAATCATCCTCTCTAATTTTATTTTCAAGTCTCAGCATTTATCTGTGGGTTTCAAAATTTTTGTTACTTCAATTTGGTCTATAACTGACTGAATTAATGTGTGTGTGTGAACCTAATTAATGAACAATATTTAGGCTCAAGCTAGGGATCTATTAAATAATATTTAATTAATGTGTAAGCTACAACTAATTGAATATTATTTAATAGATCCCTAGCTTGAACCTA